GAGCCTTGTCGACATCATCTCCTCCAAATATCGTGACTTAAATACAAAAGTCAGCAACTTCACCAGTATATACTACAACATAACTTTGTCGCCCTCACTCGACAAAGCAAGGTTAGTGACGAAGACATGAAAGCATTGGAGATCAATATTGCGTGCCCCTCGATATAATACGTCTTTCTCACACATGAAAGCGCGAGAGATATTGTGTGCACACCGAAGTGGGCTCCGATATCAAATGAGGTCTTCTGAGTGAAACAGATCAAGACGTCAGAATCCGAAGATTATAGTAGTCAAAGGATTTGACGCTCGTTGGACGTCAGTGTACGTGTTACTTAGTGATGACAAGGTGACCCCTCCGAAAGCGACACGACTCGTCGGCGGGGATAAGGCAAAGGGAAAGAGGACATCTTCCTCAATGACGCCCGGGTCTCAAGGGACAAGTATCGACAACCTCGTCGTATAAAGTAAAGGGAATACAAATCGAACGAATTGCAGCTAGATAATATTCAACAAAGATTCAAGTCGTTGAGCGCGAACGCAAAGAGCATAAAGAATACAAGATTCTGATGTTACTTGTTGGCCATTTCCCGCCTCTAGAGCGCACGACTATAAAAAAAATCAAGGACAAAGTAAGTCGGAAGTTGCTCGAGAGTGTGACAGACGACTTGGGCGATGATCTTTGTTTTTTCAATCAAGTTGTATTTTATTTTTATTTTTTATTTCTAACTGTATTGAACTTTTTTTTAATGTCAATTTAATTTGAAATTTTATTTTTAATGAAATATTTATTTAATGATTTTCTTTTAAATTACTTTCATCTAAATATATTTTAAAAAATTCAAAAAAAAATTAAAAAAAAATGAACGTAATGTGCATAATCCGATGCTAGTGAATATTGAGATGTACTCTGTAATAAAATGTGATAAAAAAGAACTAAGGTCGCACTGACTGAATTGAAAGAGTGTCATGGGTTTATCCCACCATATACACATATATACCTAATGGTCAAGGAGATATCTTTTCTTAGTGCGGACATCCTATTTGCAGAGTGAATGAAGTCAGACTATGGCTTCACCCATTTAAGCTAAAGGCTGACTTATTGGGAGGACCGCAGTCTGCGGCTCTGCCCTGCTTGTTTTTCTTTGCATATATTAATAATAAGAGTTAAGTGCACCGTTTACCTCTTAATTCTTTGAAAATTGCACGGCTTACCTCCAAACATAAAAAAGTGCACCAAATACCCTTAAATTCTTCATAAATTGCACGGTTTACCCCTGAACAAAAAAAATGCACCAAATACCCCTGAATTCTTCGAAAATTGTGATGCTTACTACTGAACAGTTAAATAAAGACGACAATTTTGGGTAAAGGTACTTTGAAAAATTCACAAGGGACAGATGAATCATATTCGCAATTCTTGTGCGTGTAAGCAACACACTCCCTATCTACTCCGTAATAGTTTAGGACCAACAATGCAACGTTTTAATTTGTTCAAGGGTATTTGATGCATTTTTTAGTGTGCATGGGTAAATCGTGCAATTTTCGAAGAGTTCGAGGGTAATCGGTGCACTTTTTAAAGTTCAGAGGTAAAACATGCAATTTCTGAAGAGTACGGGGGTAAACGGTGCACTTAACTGATCTTAATAATAAAAACAAACATTCTTTTGGCTATCCTACTTTTTATCCTCCAATATTCTAATTTCATTTCTAACATTTAAAATTATCCAATCTTTTTGAATTATATAGTAAATTTTATGTAGTACTCCGTATTTCTTTTCATTATTTGCACACCCTAATATCTTATACTCTCTCTGTCCAAAAAAGTCTTTCACAATTCAAAAAATAATGTCTCACAATCTCATTTTCACTTTTATTAAATAATCACTTTTACTCTTATTTTTTTATACTTTATCTATCACATCATGTTTTTTTCTGAGAGAATGATGTTGGTGAAAGAAATAAGAATCTGTTAGAGCATTCACAATGACAAGTAAAAAATAAAATGATACACGGTGACATTGAAAGTTTCAACTAATAAAAAACAGTCCAGCGTGTGGCATGAGAGTGGACTGGCATGTCATGCAGTGGCAAGTCATTGTTTTTATCAATTTTACTTTTTTTACACATTTTAAATTATTTAAATTTATTTTGTTTGTATTTTTATAAACTACTCACTCCGTCCTAAAATTTTCTTCCCAGAGCACTATTTCAACTTCACGGGAATTTAGATTTATTTGTGTTTTTTCATGGCTTATATGATAAAATAAAATATTCTTGTCATCACTTATTTGTGTTATTTGAACCATTGTAGAGAAAAAATAGTGAGAGATGTGTGAGAGATATGATTGTTTTGAGAAAATTTATAGGTTTTTTAATTTAGATTTTTTTGTTTAACAGCTAAAATAGCAGTTTTTGGTAGTTGGGGGAGGGGAGCGTCGCATTAAAGGTTTGACGCTGAGGGAGTGACGCCTGTTTGAAGCCCTAGGGAGTGGTGTTTAACGCCTCCGGGCGTTAAAAACAGGGTTGACGCCCACCGGCGTCACACCCATTTCCTCAACTCTAAGGGACGGTTAATTTATTAGAGGTATAAGTGTCCAAATTTAATGTATAGCAAATCATGATTGATATGATGAAATAAAGTTATTAGGGTAAGGTTCCCATGACATTATGACATTGGTAACCAATGTCATGAAATGATCCGGGGGCGTTCCGGTGCTCCGTTCGTAAAATTGATAGTTCTTACCCCCCAAACACTCCCTCCCCCCGTAAACCTCCCCACCCTGACCTGACCCGAACGCACCACCCCACCCTCTTCCATTGCACCCACAAGTAAATTTTGATTTAGGAGTCAAAATTTGACTCCAAAGTCATAAATCAATTGTGGGGTGCAATTGAAGGGGGTGGGGTGACATGTTTGGGTCGAGGCAAGGTGCGTGGGTTTACTGGAGGGTTAATGGGTATGAATCATCAATTTTACGAACGAAGTATCGGAGTGCCTCTGGTTCATCCCATGATATTAGGAAACCAATGTCATGGGAACCAATGGGAAGTTATAAAACCCATTAACTTAGGTTTTAGAAGTCCTTAATCCTTGGGTCTTATCGCTTTTGTCATTCCATTAGATCTATTTCATTTGTGAAGCCACCACATTCACCTCTATACCTGTTCATAGGGGTGTGCACCGGTCTAAAACCGGACCGGACAGTACCGGAACCGGAATAGATCGGAACCGGAATCCTCTATTTGCAATGCTTGAAAACCGGACCTGTTAGATATTGGTCCGGACTGATTCGGACCTGAATTTTCTAGTCCGGTCTGGGTTTACACTATTATAGACCGGATTTTTAACATGAATAGCCTAATTTTCATTATAAAAAATTCATATCTAAATTATATACTCCGTATGTAACTATATACTCCATATATAATACCATTAATCCCCAAGTTCATAACAATAACAATTCACTAGGAAGGACAATTGTTAAATTCATAAGTTCATAACACTACAAAATCTATGAAAAAATCTCAAACCAAAGTTCAAACTTAAAAAAAAATAAATAAAAAATACTTAAAGTAAAAATTGAAATTAAGTTACATATCATGCTAGGAGCATAAGAGAACTAAAAAAGAAGAAATCTGAAAGGCTAATGGTCTAATGAATTAACTATTTATTTAAAGAATAAAAATTTTATTATACACCGGTCTGGACCGAATAATTCCGGGTTTAGACAGGACCGGACCGGAACCCTGAATTCTAAATTTTGGTGGACCGAAGACCAAACCTGAAAGTTCTGAACCAGTCTGGACTGGTCCATTCCGGTCCGGTTCAGGTCTAAATTCCGGACTGGACCTGTTAATGCACAACCTTACCTGTTCACATTTAGGTTCAAACCGAAAAAATTAACTGGACCAGACCATTAGGTCTATATTGAACCAGGACTTAATGGGTTTCAAGTCGATCTTCTGTCAAGAAAATTTAAGTGTTCGAGTTTCGATCAAGCGAGTCTAAACCCAAAATGATTCAAATCCAGACCGAATGGACCTAATAAACCTAGTGCACCTAGAATACCTAAATACTAAAATTCTACTTTTTGATAATATGAATTAAATATTATATTCCTTTAAAAATATATTGACTACTTAACATAAAATTAATAAAGATTTCTCTTAATCTATAATAAATAAACCTGGAAAAAATGACACTATCTGTTTTTGACCCGAAACTACCCGAATTAAAAACACTGGGTTTTAAACAAAGGTTTTGATGACCGAATCTGAAATAACCTACTAAAAATGGATCAAACCCGACCGAATTTGAACCCGACCCGACCGACCCGCTAAAGTAAGAAATTTTCAAAATCATGCACTTTACTTCTCGTTTTTAGTGTATAAATTTTTATTTTCAGACAAAATTTCAATGATATTGTATAATTATACTTTTTTCCAAAACTTAAACATTTGTTTAAATTCCTTATACTGATTTATATATCTAAAAACTACTTCAGAATTTAAAATAAAATAATCTAATAGATTTAATACCTTTTTTGATATTTTAAATTTATTAAATAGAAAATGTTAATAGTAAATATAAAAATTTAAAAAACCAAAGTTACAGCCCGTTGGGTTGACCCGAACCAAATAACACTGTGTTATGAACATACAGTTATCTACCCCGAACCCGAAATGATCCGAACCCAAATTAACCCGAACCCGAAATAACCAAACACCAAGTGACCAAACCCGAACCTAATCGGATCGACTGATTTACAAGCTCTAGCAATAAACCATTTACTCTCTTTTGTCCTAAAGTATTTGTCCATACTCCGTAATAAACAAGATATATTCTCTCCACCTCAACAAAAAATCAAAAATTAATAAAGATTTCTCTTAATCTTTATAACTTGACAAAAAATACTCCATACCTCAACAATTTTCAAAAAGAAAAAAAAAAGAATAAAGGTTTAAAATAAATGATATCAGGACACGTGTTCAGTTAGTCCCCTATCCAAACCTAGTTTTGCCCGTATATCGGTTCAACGGTCCAACCCTAGTTTTGACCCTACATATATATATATAATGATGGGACTGCCCCCCAAAGACACTCTCCCACCTCACTCAATCCGCCGCCGCCGCTGGCTGGTCTGCGTATTCCAATGGCGAGAGATGTTGCAGGTAATGTCTTTTACTACTCCGTAATATACAAATGTCTTTTCATTTTTATAATGCCTCACTCCTTCTCGGTTCCACATTTTTCAAGCTACTTGCCCTCACCTCACTCCTCCTTTTTCTCTTCTTCTCCCACCTCACTCCTTCTTTCTCACACTTCTTCAATTCTTCGGGTTTTTCTATTTATTTATTTTTCTTTTTAATATTTTTTCAGCAGGTGAGTTTGAAATACTCACATGGACGCTCAACAACCTCACACAGGCCTTGGCCTCTCTCCTCGTGGTGCTGCAGCCCCCAACAGCAGCAGCAGCACCTGTTGACAACGAGGAAGAAGAAGCTCTAGGAATTGAAAAGTTCGAATCGAAGCAGAAGGCTCTCAAGCAGGAGTATGAAGGCTATGTGGCTGTGGTTGAGGCGGCACTCGGCTCATTCCGGAGCTTGACAGCCCTAACATGGTTGACATGGTTAGAGCTGTCACAATATGCCCGAACAAGCCCCGGAATGAGCCTAGTGCCGCCTCAATCACGGCCACATAGCCTTCATACTCCTGCTTGAGAGTTTTCTGCTTCGATTCGAACTCTTCAAGCTTCCTTCCCATCCTTCATAGAGCTTCTTCTTCCTCGTTAACAGGCTCGTCAACAGGTGCTGCTGCTGTTGGGGCTGCAGCACCACGAGGATTGTGGGATTTACTAGTGCGAGGAGGGCGGAGGAGTACCTTACCCCGGTGTTTTGCCATCTGGGTGTAGGGAACCAGGACGGACTTCCGGCTGGTCCTCACAGCCAACCAGAGGCTAAAAGAAGAGTTTGAGAAGTTCCTGGAGGAGCAAGAGAACGTGAGGAGAGCCCCTAGAAAGAACCAGCAACTGAGGAGGTGGAAACTGATCCCCGTAAAAGGGTAGTCAAGGAGAGGGTAACCTCTTTTGACGAAAAAGCGGAAAAATTGCAGCCCATGGTAAAGTACTGCTTCATCCAATTTACTATTGAAATTGCAGTCTTTTCCCTCCAAGCGGTCTTTATGTATCTGGGCGGCCTGCGCTCCGCTTCCGGCTCCGGCGGACATTAGTCGCTTTTTATGGTTTGCGTACTTTATTATTTCTGCCTATGGATTTTGAAGTATTATTATTGTTGTTATTATCACTCCTCTTTTGTTCCATCTTACTCCGTATTTTTTTTATACGGACTAGTTCTTTTTTTAATGTTGTTTTGATCCTACTTTGTTACTCCCTCCCTCCTGATCTTCTCAGAGCACTATTCCAACTTCACAGGAATTTATATTTATTTGTGTTTTTTCATGGCCTATATAATAAAATAAAATATTCTTGTCACCACTTGTTTTGTTGAACTTTTGATGTAGTTTTTAAATATGTATGTTTTATTTTTTATTTCTATACCAATATTTAAATAAAATAGATTGAAAAAACTTGGGATTTTTCTTCGTTTTGCGAAGCGGGAAGATCATTATAGGACGGAGGGAGTAATAATTTTTTTATTCTTCCATGCTTAATTAATACTCCTCCGTTCCGTTCAACTTATTTTTTTTGATCTGATCTGGTCTTATCTGATATAATATGATCTGATTGGATCTGATTTGATTGGATCTGATCTGATTGGATCTGATCTGATCCGATTAATTATGATTTAATTTAATCACTCCCAAACAATCTACTATGCTGAAATTGGCTAATATCTTCCCTCTCCCGATTGACGCCTCTCAGGTCAAGCCATCGCCGCCGATCATCTCCAATATTAATCTTCTGCAGACGTACGCCTCCATCACTGTGAGACCATCTCCAGCTACGGATCTTCGTCGCCAAAGATATCGATTTATCACTCCAGGATTTAATCGACACCCTCGCCAATCGCCAACGACCTGCGGACAGACGACCTCGCCCAGCCAACACTGTCATCTCTGGTTCCTGTGTTCAATCTCAGGCCAGCCCTGATTTTATTTGTTTCTTTGTGTAAATCAACTTCAATTTTCCAATTAATTTTAGTTTGTTTAATGCTTGCGACATAATGCGTAATCTACAGGCAATATTTTCTTGTAACAAGAAAAAAAATTATGTGCAAACAAATTACTCCTAATTTGATTTTTGGCTAGATTAAATCAATTTGTGATGATAATAAGTTGTTCCTCCTGTTGTTATGATGAACTCTTATATAATTAGGACTTCCATAAGATGCCCATTTTCTTAAAGTATTTTTTTCATAAAAAGGACTTTGCTATTTTTCCAAAAAACAATTCTTGAAGCCATAAGGGCTTAACCCCAGTGGTTTGGTTTTAACTCATTATTTGAAATTATAGCCTAAGAAAATCAAATATTTGGTATAAATTGTTGAATGATAGATTTTGCTACCTCTCCTCTGATGCCGAATTGAACAGAGGGTTTGAAGCTTTCGAAAACGAAATTAATTGTACGATTCCAATAAAAATGAAATCTATTGTGGGGAACATAAACATATTGTGAAATTGTGATAAACATATTGTAAACTGACCAAACAAAATCAATTTGTTTATAATAAGTTTATTGTTAAATTGTGTGAACTTATATTTTAAAAAAAATAAGACAATGATCGTAAGTCTAAGACACACTTATGATTAAATTGAATCCTATTGTTTCTCATTTCGGGGCAAGAAGATAAGTAGACACAAAAAATACCAAACTCAGTAGAAATGCCAGTCTAAAGCCTCATCAACTGTTTACCAATTCTTCAAAACTTAGAATAGAAAAAACTGATAAAGAAAGTGTAAAGTTCAAAATAACAATAAGGACGGGGGTACATGACAAGGAATTTCATGTATTATGCAGCAATGGAGGGCTTAGAAGTAGCAGTGGAGAGTCTGGACCTCTTCTTGGCTAAACTCTTAGAGCGCTTCTCCCTTAACTCCTTCAACCTGCTAGCGAGCAGCTTCTGGTAGTCCTAATTTTCTTCAAATGCTCAAGATCATCCCTTAGTTTTATGTCCAATGCATTGGACACAACCTGTGAATAGCTCACATCCTTGTGTTGGAATCAGTCGGGGATCTTGAACTATCGATGGTGATTTAAGGTCATGTTTCTTTCAAGGCTTAGCGATTGATAATACTCCGTAGTTCAGATGTCTTCATAGTCTCTGGTGTTTCTTCACTGAGAATGGGAGGTAAGGAGCTGCAAAACTTCAGCTTCTTTGTTTTATGCCATGACTATTTCCTTTTTTATTTGGTTTCCAAAGCATATGCAGTATCCAATGATATGAGTGTTGGACTCACTCTGTTATCCAGTGCATATCATGGGAGCCTTTTTCAGCTCATTATTAATGTAATTTAACTAATATCTTACAGATTTATGGTAATGAGGTATCACCTTTTCAAATGAAAGACATCAATGAGATGAAGTCATTGTTTTGTGCTCACTTTAATTCAGAATATGATGAGCTAATTGGTTACAGTGAAGAACACTGGCTGTCCATCCAGTGCTTATTTCCTCAAACAAAGCAGCACAGTGTAAGGGAAATTGACTGGTCATCTAGTTCATATAGGGGAAATTGATTGGTCATTTAATAGTGTCCTTATAACTCATTTTTATTGTAGTGTAATGTATCAAAATGCTTGATTTGTCAATTATCTTTTGAAATACTTTAGTTTGGTAGATATCTGATCATATTTTCCCTCATTTTGTAGATGTTTGTATTGCAAGATGGAGCTTATTTTGAATGTCAAAGAGGGAAAAATGAGGATTTGGAGCTCTTATTATCAAGTTTGATGACATGTGCAAGAGCTAACTCTTTGTTTGGAATGTAATACTCTTTATGGATATTACATTTTTTTTTGTAGCACTCAATAGAACCTAACATGCACTTTGTCATGGATGCTTTTTAGTTGGCAAGTTTTAGTTCTATTTAAATAGAGAATGAAACTTTTTGTGGGTAAAGAGTAACATTTTTATAGAATAAGCATTTGAAATTTTAGTTTGATGGATATTTTGTGTTGGATATTAATTTATATGGAGTATTTAAATGCAATATGTGTTTATAACAAATGTGCGGGACAAAAAAAGAGTATCATTACACATCAGATAAAAATTTGTTGTATAGTAGTGTTCTTAAAGCATTAATAGACAGCGGATAAATATCCATTGTGTAAACTATACCACAGCGGATATATGTTTGGTGTATATGTTCTATAAAATTTTTGGTACTTTTACACAGCAGATTTTTATCAGCTGTGTAAAGTATACCGTTAGATTACACAGCGGTTAAATATTCGCTGTATAAACATGATACCTATTGATACCTATTGTACCAGTCACATTAAACAAACTGACGGTCTCATTTTTAAAAAAATGGGAAAAAAATGAAACCTAAATGTGGAGGCAAAAGACGTAGAAAGACAATACTCCCCAATCTTTAGCTAAAGTATTATCGGGATTGTCTTTAGGGCGATTATTTTTAATAATGAAAAGGACGGACTTCTTTAATGCTACAAAGACATTAAATTATTTTTAAAATGATGGACTTAGGTCTAAGTTTCCATTAAACAAACTGACGGTCTCATTTTTTAAAAAAAAGGGAAAAAAATGAAACCTAAATGTGGAGGCAA